AGGCTGCTGGGTCCAGCACCGATGCTGCAGTCGCTGCCCTGCCAGCCCACCGCCACTCGCGTGACCGCGTGGAGCCCTGCCGCTCCTCCTGTGAGCTGCTTGCCAACCCGCTCGTCGAACTGCCTGCCCCTCTCGTCGACGTCGCGCTTGGCGAGGTGACTGGCGTGCTGCTTCGCGCGGTCGGCCAGCCTCTCGAGTAGGAGGGGGTGCCAGCACGCCAGGCCTCCATGCTGCAACATCCTCAGCCAGCGCCCAGCCTCCGTGCTGCAGGAGGTGCCGCCTCCCTCTCCTGGGCGGGCCTCCTCGTCCTGCTGCAGCTTCCTGACTCTCTTCGGGACCGCCGCCACCAGCTGGGGCAAGTAGCAGATCGCGTCGACCCTGGCCCTGGGCGCTTTCAGCTGCGCCATGGCTCCCAGCGCGTTGGCCACCCTGGCCATCCACGCTGCCTCTGGCGTGAGCCTCGGCGACCTGGGGTCCTGCACCCCGCTGCGCTTGACCAGCTTGGTGGAGAAGCCGTCCGCTCTGCCAACGTACCTGGCCCTCTGCTCCTCCAGCTGGTATACGTCGACCCACTCGTCCTCCGCGCACTCCAGGAAGGTGGCGAAGGCGGCTGTGAGGGCTCCCTTAGCCCCCTCCGCCGCCGCGCCCTGGGCCTGCCCGTCCTGCTGCAGGCGCTGGGCTTGCCCCGCCGAAGAGGCTGCCTGCCTCTTCTCGACCCAGAGGCTGGGGGGCCTCACGTGCACTCCTTCAGCCGCTTCAACCTGAAAGGGACTACCCGCGTTTCCGTACGGTGCCTGGCTCGGATGTGCACTGCCAGTCCCAGCATGGGGAGGACTGTCCGCCTGCTCCTCCTGCGCAGCGCTGCCCGCGGCGCTGCTGCCCCCTCTCTCCGCTGCGTCGGCGTCATGCGCTCCTGGCGCCTGAGCTCCGAGGTGCGCTGGCTGGACCTCGCCGCGTGGCGCTGCGCCGTACCCTTCATCGCCAGCTTCCTGCCGTAGCCCGCAGCTGTCGAGGATGCTCTGCCACTCCACGCCATGCTGGGCGCGGCACCTCATCAGCTTCTCGTCCGTCACGCAGGATGGCGGCGCAGGTGCGATCGGGAGCACTCTGCCTAGGGGTCCCCATCTCTCCGCCGTAGGCACCTCCTCAGCTTCCTTGCCCCTCACTGGGCTGGGAAGCTCCTGGCCTGCTCCAGCTGCGCGCTGACCTGCTGCGCCACCGCTGCTGCTGGGCTGAGGGGCCTCCTCTTCAGCGGCAGAGGCTGCCTGCCTCTTCTCGACCCAGAGGCTGGGGGGCCTCACGTGCACTCCTTCAGCCGCATCAACCTGAAAGGGACAACCCGCGATTCCGTACGGTGCCTGGCTCGGAGGTGCACTGCCAGTCCCAGCATGGGGAGGGATGTCCGCCTGCGCCTCCTGCACAGCGCTGCCCGCGGCGCTGCTGCCCCCTCTCTCCGCTGCGTCGGTGCCCTGCGCTCCTGGCGCCAGGGCCCCGAGGTGCGCTGGCTGGTCCTCAACGCCTGGTGCAGCGCCGAGCCCTTCCGCGCCAACTTCTCGCCGTAGCCCGCAGCTGTCGAGGATGCTCTGCCACTCCTCGCCATGCTGGACGCAGCACCTCATCAGATTCACGTCCGTCACGCAGGACGGCGGCGCAGGTGCGATCGGGAGCACGCTGCTTAGTGGTCCCCATCTCTCCGCCGCAGACACCCCTTCAGCTCCCTTGCCCCTCACTGGCCTGGGAATCTCCTGGCCAGCTCTAGCTGTGCGCTGACCTGCTGCGCCACCACTGCTGCTGGGCTGAGGGGCCTCCTCCTCAGCACGTGGGGTGCTCCTCGCTGCGGCCTCACCCTCGAACCTCAGCACCGACGCGAGCTGCTCCTGCACCCTCATCCTGGCTTGCCTCCAGCTGCTGCCGTGGTCTCTCTCACAACACCCTTGCGGCCGAACCTCAGGAAAGGTCCGCGGCTTCTGGACCAGCCTGAAGCGCTCCTCCTCTTGCTGCCTGCGGATCTCGAGGATCACCGCCGAGTGCGGGTACACTGGCGAGGCCTCCACCACCCGCACACCCAGCGCAGCCAGCCCCCTGGACACCAGGAAGAAGTCGATGGTCCTCCCCGACGCTGCACACGTGGGCGAGGCGGGCCTGACCACCTTGCCGTCGAACATGTCGGGCACCCCGCCTGCCTGCAACTCTTCCTCCGTGAGGTTCCAATCGCCGCCCACCACGAAGTCCCTGCGGCACTGCCTCAACCTCCTTGCCAGCCTCCTGAGGCTGGCCACGTTGCCATCGTTGAGGCCGACCCCCGCCTCCAGGTAGAGGTTGGCGAGCAAGAAGCCGCTGCTCAGCACGCCTGACACCCAACACAGGTGCACTCGCCCTGCCACCAGCACCGCTGCCTGCTGGTCCTGCACCTCCGCCATGCCATGGCTCCTCCTCACCATGGTGAGGAGGCCTCCTGTGCTGAGGCCTCCTGCCGCTGACGGCACTGCAGGCGTGCCTCTCGCCCGCCACCCTTGGCTGCGGAGCTGCGCCTCCGCATCACTGCTCCTTCCCTCCAGGAGCCTCGTCTCCTGGACTAGTATGGCGTCGCAGTCCTGCACCTCACTCACCGCCATGCACTTTCCCAGGTTGCTGAACGCATTGACGTTGACCGTGCAGATCCTCCAGACCCCACACTTCTTGCTAGGACTCCTCCTCCATCTGCTTGACCTCCGTCCGCATCTTCCTGGCGTCGCCCAGCAACTGCTCCGCTGCTTCCCTCTTGGTGGGGTCCTCAATCCCGCACGTGATGTCCTGCCACGCTTGCTGCGCCGCCTGCGACGCGCCAGGCCCCTCCTCCTTGGGAGCGTCCACCTGCTGCGCTGCTGCTGGCACCGCCGAGGGCACAGGGACCGCCGCTGCCACAGGCGCACGGGGAGGCGCCCACGCTGCGGCGGCGGCGCCTGGCATGCCGCTGAGCTCCGCAAGCACCTTCCCGAGCTTCGCGATCTCGTCCCTCGACAAGCCGCCGATCGCCTCCTGTATCGACTCCAGGGAGGCTGCTGGTGCTGCTCTCGGCTCGGCGGCTGCTGCCGCCGCCTCAGCCTCCTCGGCCGCCACCCTGGTGCGCTGAGCCGCCAGCGCCTCGCGTGCCTTGGCCGCCGCCTCGTCGCACTCCTTCCGCAGCAGCACCAACTTGTCCGCGAGGCTGGCCGACTCGTTGATGGCCGCCACCGCCTTGGCCTTTGCCTGCTCCAGCTGGCCCTCCAACTTCTTGACCTGCAAGACCTTGGCGTCCGCCTGCACCTGGGCCGCCTTGACCGTCTTGTCCTTGGACAGCTCGGCCCCCAGTCCGCCCTCACGCAGCCTCCGTGCCTGCAGAAGCTGCTCGCGGACCTTCGGGGCCAGGAGCGCGGCGGTGAGGGCGAAGTCGGCCTCTGCCATGCACACGAAGCCACTGCGCTGCTCCTCGCTGAGCTCCACGGCGCCACCAGCGTCACGGCCGCCACCTTCTCCGCCTCGCCACCACGGGGCACGTGTGGGAGGCTTGCCGCCGCCTGCCCCACGCCCGCCGCGCCCGCCGCCAGCGCCGCCAGGAGCACCACCACCGCCGCCGCCTGCAGGCCACCCCCGCAGCGGAGGAAAGGCGCCCAGCTGCCGCGGCGCTGGCCACCCCGCAGCTTGGCACCCCTTGCGACAGCACGCCCTCTCGGCGAAGTTGTAGTAGTCGCACACCGAGCACTTCCACTTCGCAGGCCACGCCGCGCGGCCGCCTCCCCCACGCCCAGCACCCACGCCGCCGCTCCCCGCCATGGCGCGCGTGAGTTTGGAAGGAGGCCGCCCGACTGCCAGAGTGCACACACTCTTGCCTGCGCACGGTAGTGCGATCCAGTGAAGCACGGAGGCTGAAAGCCCCCCGAGCAACCCATCTTGAGCCAAAATGGCTACGGAGGAGGAGGAGGAGGAGGAGGAGGAGGAGTGGGTCTGGGTTGTGATGAGATTTGGCCCCTCGGAGCGGGGACCCGCCCTGTGTGACGCCCCGGTCCTAGACCGCCTCATGCCTTCATCCCATTCGTACCCGCCTCCTGCTTCTCCTCTTCATTCGATGGATCCGAGAAGCGAGCACTGACAGCACTGCACCGCAACTGGATTGCGCAGCATGGGGCTTTTCTGCGCGCATCCTTTTTTAGGACATGCCCAACTCTCCTCATCCTTCTTCTCCTCTTTCTCCATCATCCCTCCTCCTTCTCCTCTTTCTCCTCCCCTCCCACCTTGTCTTCCTTCTCTGTTGCCACGCCCAGCAATCTCGATCCTCCTCCTCCTCCTCCTCATGCCCCTCATCCTATTCATCGTCCTCATCTTCCTCCCCGTGCATATTCCCTTCGCTCTTCATCCCTCCTTCCGACCTCCTCTCCCACTTTTCCTCGTCTTCCTTCCCTCCTCCTCTTCCTCCCTCAGCTCCCCCTCCTCCCTCCCCATTCCGCCCCCTCCCCTCTTCTCATTATTGTCCTCCGCCCCACTCCCTCCTCCCCCCTTCGTTTCACCTCCCACGCTTGACGCTCTGGCACAGGGCTACAACGCTCGCGCACTCGGGAGAAGTCGAGGAGTTCTGCTGCTGACCTCGTCCCTCTTCTACTGGGGAAACCAAAAGGCACCAATATTCGCTACTCCCCAGACCTTTCCCGGGGTTCGTTCTGACCAGGACTTCAAGGCGAATCCAGCGGTGGCGATGAGGGCCCCCCAGGAGGTCCAAGAAGGCGAAATCGATGGAAGGGTACACGTCGTTCATTTCTAATCGTGCTTATTTCTAATTGTGCTCGTTGCTAATTATTCCTGGCTCCCTAGTGGCCAGGAAGAGGCCCAGGATAGAACACTTAGAAATGACATGATCTTGGCCCCCTAACAAATCAACGAACCTTGGATTACTTTGGAATGAACAGTGTGTAGAGGTGTGGGTACCTTTTCCTCCTCTGGTTCGTCTCCTCCCCTGCCCTCCGTCCGCGAATGCACACCCCGCCCCTCCGAGAGGTGCCAGCGGACCCGCGTCGAGCCTGCCGTCCCTGAGCCGCTGCCAGTCGTCGCCGTTGCAGGGCAGCGGCTCGCGCGGGGCGCGCGCGCGCGCGCTGCCAGTCGTCGTCGCCGCCGTCGGCGTCATCGTCGTCGCCGCCGTCGACGTGGCCACCCTCGCGTCTTCATCGCCGCCGTCGTCGTCGTCCTCGTCGTCGCCGTCCTTGCCCTCGTCGTCGGCGTCCCCGCCGCCGTTGCGGCCCTTCCCTCGCTCCGCTGTCCCACCCGCCACTCCTCTCTTGGGCACACGCTAGTATGAACTACGGATCCGTGGATCTGGCGCGTGGGAGCTGGACGCGCGGGTCGGAGGACGTACCCCCCGACACATATTGCCAGCGCCTCCAGATTTGGCGAAGGGAGCGCATCGATGTTGCATAGAAATGGGGCCCGTCGATAATCCACGGACATTCATCCAGGCTTGCGCTTTCTCGATCCCGACCCTCCTCTCGCGCCTCCCTCCCACCTAATCGCACCACCAAGCGTTTACACTGGCCAAGCCGAGCCTGTCGCTTGAGACTTCCTTGCAACTTGCCGTCATGAATCACTCGTTTCCAGCGCGGGCCCGTGACAGTGAGTTCTTGCGCTCTAGGAGTGTCAGCGATGTGGCTCAAACTATGTGGTGAAACCTGTTCGCGCTTCAAGCAATGTGGTGCAAAATGTGTGTGTGGTGCAGGCTATGTTGTGCAAGTATTGATGTGAACGCACTGAGGTGCAACATATCGGTGGTGTGAGTCGCTTATGGGTTGAACGCTGCCTGGTGCAGGCTTTGTGGTGCAAGCCCCGCAAACTGGTGCAAGCTACGCGGAGCGAGCAATGCGATGCCAGGATCGCCAGGCAGCCAGGAGGCGCCCATGGCCGCCCACCAGGCGAAACCTCGGCAGACCCAGCCAGCGCACGAGGGGGCCCACGAGGCGCCCAAAGGCGGCCCTCAGGCGGACCTTCAACACAACAACCATCACACGAAGCGCCTGCCCCGTGCCTCGGCGTAGCCGTGGAACTACTCACGGATAACAGGTCTGGCCCCCATGTGCCAGCGCGCTCTTTTGGGGAAAGGAGAGAATCCTTGTAATAGTGGGCGGGCAGTTTCCAGAATGCGGCTCCCACTTTGGCGCTGCGCAGATTCGCTGTGCAACCTTGCAACAGTCAGGATGGGGGGTTGGCGGTGTTTACCATGTGGCTGTCCCCTTAACGCCGCGCACATTTGTTTCAACGGTCTGCAGCAACTACACGGATGCAGGGCGGCGCGTGTTCAAAATGCGGGCCTCGCCTGAGCGCATCTCACGCTCTTCTTACAACTTAGCAGCCAATACGAAGATGGAGGGGAGGCTTTTAACATGAGGCTCTCGTTTCTGCGACGCGAGCACTCAGCTCACAATACTGCAGCAATTGCAGGGGCTGAGGGCGGCAGGTTTTCAAAATGCAGCGATCGCCTGGGACTTCGCAACTTTCAAAACTAAAAGCTTGACGCACATGTAACAGCTGCACGGACGCATGACATCTCCATTGTGGATCACATTGAGCTCTCACAACGAGGGGCGGTTCCTTTTCAAAACGGGGCTCCCTGGACACGCCGCCGTTTCGGATCCGACCCTTCGCATTACTTATTCCTCGCTGGAAACATGAATCAAACCATTCCTTTCACCACTGGGCTCTCGCCATAACGGCCAGCTCAAAGTCTGCTCCCCTTTCACTGGGGTGCGCTTCTCGCGTGTAAGGACTGATGGGGAGGGGGGCCTGACATGAGTTGGTGTATTGCATCATCGTTGATGCAGCCTGGTTTTTGCTGGTCCCTCCTCCTCCTCCTCCTCCGAGAGGAGGGGGGATGCGGAGAAGGATGCGGATGGGGAGAGGCCCGGAGCACCCCCCCCCTCTCGTCGGCTTGTGTGTTGCCTGCGCTCACGTCCGCCCCTGGCTCTCGCAGGGGCCCGGACGCCATCCTGATGCCGACCGCCTGCGGCAGACACGCGCCCACGGATGCCCCACCCGCGGGCCACCGGCGGCCGCGCGGCGGGGCGGGGCAAGGCGCACGGCAGAGCGGCGCGCGAAGCAGCACGGGCGCGGCGCATCCGAGGGGCAGGTGCAGCCCAGGGGGGCCTCGAGGAGCCCGGGACGGGGAGCAGGGGCCCCTCGAGGCTCGACGCTCGAGCCTTTTCGAGGACGAGCCCTCGAGTCTCGAGCCTCGAAGACGGTGATCCCCACGGCGGGTGCCGCGCCGGCATGCTGGGCGGAGCGTGCCTGGAGATGAAATCTGGAGACCGGCGTGTTGCCCCCGAAGTGGGCGCGAATGAATGGGGATGCGAGACAGGGGGGGGGAGGGAGAAAGGTGCCATTCTCGGGCCCTGAAGGCCCCCTTTGGGGCCCGAGAGGGCCCCTTTTCTGCAGCCCTCGCTGCCCTCCCATGCATCATTCCCGAATCTCTATCGCCGCGGAACCGAGCCTGGAACCCCGACGACCGAGACAATCGTGGGCTTTTCAACTTTACATTTTGTCGCAACGCGCCCGAACACATCTGCCGATGCATGCCGATCCCTCCCATCCCCCCTCGTCTTCCCGCTCTGGTGTCTTTTTCCCTGCCTCCCGCCAGGTTGCCACAGAACACCCTTGACTGCCCTTGCGTCCGTCTAGATGCTTGGCTCTTGCTTGCTTGCTTGCCGTTTTCTCCTGGTCTCGGGCCCCAGGGCTGTCGCATATCAATCAGGCTCGAGAACTGCAGCAAACATCGGTGTCTTGGTTTTCACGATCTTATATTTCTTCACGACGTCAGACATCAGGGAAGGGGGGGTGAGAAGGAGGCGGAGCATGGCCAGGAGGAGAAGGAGGAGAAGGAGGAGGAGAAGGAAGAGGATGAGGAAGTGAGAAGGAGGCGTGGCAGGAGGATTAATCATTGGGAGAATGATGATTAGGATGATGCAGAGAAGCGAAGGGCTGGCAACCTAGGGGAGCCAAGATATAGGCAGGAGGGGAAGGATGGAGAGGACAGGCGACGGGCAAATGTGGTGTGCATAAGTAGAGATGTAGCCCAAGAGACGTCTAAGATGGAGTTCAAGATGCGGACATCATAGGTCCACTGCATCCATCGTCAGTAGCAGGGCTAGCCTATGAGATTCTGCACATGCCAGCAAGCGTGGGTCACAAACAGTATGCGCTTGCATCGTGAATGTGTAAGCTCTGTGGCCCACGTTGTGGCGTAAGCTGTGTGGTGCAGTGAACGTGGTGCAAGCTAGAGGCGGCAACGAAGCAGCAACGAGCGGCAACGTGGCGAAACCTCGCCAGAGCCACCAAACGCGAAAGGCGGCAACGAGGAGGCAACGGGCGGCGACGTGGCAAAATCTCGCTGGAACCACCCAGCACACGAGGCAGCAACGAGGCGGCAATGTGGCGAAACCTCGCCGGACCCACCCAGCGCACGAGGCGGCAGCAAGGCAGCAACGAAGCGGCAAGGGGCGGCAACGTGGCAAAACCTCGCTGGACCCATCCAGCACACGGGGTGGTAACGAGGCGGCAACGGGGAGGCAACGGCGGGCAACGCGGCGAAACCTCGCTAGACCTGCCCACCGCACAAGGCGGCAACGAGGCGGCAACGGGCGGCAACGTGGCGAGTTTGCACAGGGTGATTCTGTGGTGGGTAACTCTGATACACCTGCGACGGGTCCAGGCGACCAGTGCATCGACGATGCGCCAACCAGGTGGGTGACTTAGAGCTCGCGAGCCGAAGCGAGACCCGGCACGACTTGGCGCGTGAGGCCCGCGGTAGCCCCAGCATCGCTGCCGCTTGCCGCCCCGCGCCGAGCAACCCCACCAGCGACCATAGAGAGCGGAGGGCGGCCGGGGGCGTACCTCCGACGAAGCGAAGTGGCGCCGCCAGGCCCCGCCCTCCCCCTTCGGCTGCCCATGGAAGCGTGGAGTTGCCGACGCAGCGCCCGAAGCGAGCAATCTGGGGGTGCCGAGGGAAGCGCGTCAGCCCCAGAGGCCTGCGAGCTCTCCCCCACATAACCGAGCTGGAGCCGCGGCGAGGGCGTGAAGTGACGCGAGATGTACAGCCAGTGGAGGCCGCCAGGCTTGTCCCTCGGCTTCGGCTCTGGGCTGGTGTGACGGTCCACACTCTGGCGAGGCTAGTTTAATCTTCCTCCACCTCCCTCCTCCTTCTCGACCACCCCCACCTCCTCTGAGATCCGATGTCGCGAGCAAAATTGCAACACCGCGGAGATTCACCGCCAGTGCAACTGCCTGCGGTGCCCCTCGAGCCAGATCCGTCTGCGACGGCCAGGGGGGGAGCCCGAGACCTGGCGGAAGAGCGGCGGGAGCGAAACTACTGCGACGCCCAGATCTTGGAGGGGGGGGGGGGGGCGCTCCAGACAGATCGAGCTCCAGCCAGTCTTCTCCCAGCGCGCGCTGGCGCCCCTGAAGTGGGGGGCCGCCTCGACCCCGCTTCGCAATGACGGCCACTAGCAAGGGATGCGTCGACCCCTATCCCAGGCGTCGTGGGATTTCGAACGGACCAAACATTTGGGGCCCAACCCTGGGATGTACAATGGGGGGGCGTGAATCCTCGATAGGGGTGCGTCCGAATAGCCCTCCTGGGATGTATCCCAAGGATTCCAATTTTCCCTGAGCGGCCAAACGTTTCTGGCGGAACTCGGGGCTACGCTACGCTACTCCCGATCGGCCCGGGGGCGGGCCCATCTAGAACTCGAGGAAAAACTTGGCCCCTGCCACCGGCACCCGGGCAAACGTGCGATCGCCTTGCGTGGATTGCTTCGCGGGCAGGCAGGGGCGGGGAGCGAAAGAGGGCGGGGGCAAGGGGGCGGAAGGGAAGGAAGCCGTCAAATTTTGTTCGCGAGGGGAAGAGGAGGAGGAGGAGGAGGAGGAGGAGGAGGAGGAGGACGAGGAGGAGGAGGAGGAGGAGGAAGGAGGAGGAGGAGGAGGAGGAGGAGGAGGGAGAAGGAGAGGGGAAGGAGGGGGGTGGGGGAGGAGGAGGAGGAGGAGGAGGAGGAGGAGGAGGAGGAGGAGGAGGAGGAGGAGGAGGAGGAGGAGGAGGAGGAGGAGGAGGAGGAGGAGGAGGAGGAGGAGGAGGACCCCCGTTCCACGTTCCTCCAGAAGCCGCCTCCTCCACGCCAGCCGTTCTTCTGTCCGAGGCGGGGGGGCCTTCGGGTTGGTGGCCAGCTCGTAGCACACCACCCCGAGGGAGAAGACGTCCGCACGGGGCAGGTCCGTAAGGTTGCCGCGCAACACCTGCGGGCACTCGCTGGGTGCCGTGCAGGCTTCCGTGTCGGCAGCCCCTCCATCGCTGCCTTTGTCTCTGGACCCCCCCCCCTCTCTGCCTGTCTGCTGCCCTCCCCGCTCTCCTCCCCTCCCAGGCCCTTCCCTCCCCTCCCGTCTCCCCCTCCTGCTCCTGCTCCTGCTCCTGCTCCTGCTCCTCCTCCTGCTCCTCCTCCTCCGCCGCCTACTCCTCCTCTTCCTCCTCCTCATCCTCCTCCTCCTCTCCACAGAGAGAGGCCGCAGCACTGACAGTGACTCATTCCTGGGAGGATGAAGCCTCCGAGCCTGAGTGAGGCTTGTGTTTTGGGCTGTCCTTGAGACCACACGCGACGACATGTTCCTCCTCCTCCTCCTCCTCCTCCTCCTCCTCCTCCTCAGCGTCCTGCTCCCCCCCTAAAGCCCGCGTCTCCCCTCCAATGGCCGTCTGTCTTCTCCCCTCTCCTCTCCTCTCTCCCATCTCCTCCCCTCCCCTTCCCCTCGCACCCCCCCTCCTTGCTCTCCTCTTCCTCTCGTCCGTGCCCCCGCCCCCACCCATTGCCCCCCCGCGGTGGTCCCCGCTGGTATGCGATTCCACGCCTTGCTCTGCAATGCTGCGAGATGCAACGCTGGGCTACGCAGTGCCATGCCACGCAATGGAATCCCGCGCAATACGTAGGATATACATCACTTATCGCTATGCGGTGCCATGCCTTGGGCTACCCTGCTGTGACATGCCATGCTGGACTACGCCATGCTATACCATGCTGTGCATCGAATACCCTGTGGGAAGCTGTGCCCTCTTCGACATCGGACTGTGCCAACAAGGAGGGGCTCGACGGGAGGGAGGGGTCGGACGTCAGCCGTCAGCCTCCCACGGCATGAACACCTCGCCGCTGAAACTCTTCGACCTCCTGGTCGTTGTCGTGGTCCCGATCTTGCTTGTTCGTTTTATCCCCCCCTCCCGCCCCCGCCTCCCCTCTCCCTCCTCCTCCTCCACCTCCTTCTCCTCCTTCTCCTCCTCCTCTTCATTCTCGCCAGTATTCTTCGCGACCCGTTCCCATCCTGCTCGTCCCCCCTCGTCGTCCTCCTGTTTCTACCTTTACCTGTACCCCGCCTCCCGTCTCCTCCTCCTCCTCCTCATCCTCATCTTCCTCCTCCTCCCCCTCTTCCCTCGGCTGTCGCCTCCTATAGAGAGGTTCCAGCTCCAGACTCCCTCAATATTCGGGCATGTAGAGCCGAAACGAGACGACAACTACAGAGTCCCGATGCCGCCTCCGTCCAGTTCGGACACATGAGGTGGGCTCCCTGCAGGGAGGGAGCTCCCGCTCAAAACTTCCTCACAATCCACTCTCAAGCGAGGCTCCCGCTCGAGCCAGTCCCCAGATTCAGATCTCAAGGTCCCCAAAAGATCGGACTAAGAGGTTTTAGAACCCATCCCCATATCAAAACAATGAAATGGAGGTTCTACAGGAACGGTGCTCCCGCTAGAGACTTCCCCACAAGTCGTTCACACGCGAGGCTGTTCCTCCAGATTTCCTCCAGATTCAATCCCAAGGAGTCCCAACGCGAAGACATCTGCTAATTTCAGACTCCCCCCTTCTGATAAGAACCGCGAAATGGCCCCATTAGGGGCGCGCTCCTGCTCGAAATCCCCTCGCAATTCACTCACAGGCGTGGCGCCCGATGGAGACTTCATCCAGACTCAGACCCTGGGAACCCACGCATGACGACAAGTACAGGTTTAACGGGGCCCTGTAGGGATAAGGTCCCCGATGGAGATTCCCTAGCAAGGTGGTCAAACCCAATACCCCGTCTCGCGCATGTTAGGATCCCGCTACCGCTCTCGGGTTAAGAACAGGACATGAGGACCCTATGGGGAGGGGCTTCCGCTCGAGACATCTTCGCTAGTCGCTCAAAAATCTGTCTCACGCTCGAGAAAACGTAAATGTACACGATAATGGAGAGATCGTGACTGGTAGTGGTGTTGGTGATGGTCCTGACCATGACGGCGTTCCTGTGATCAGTATGGGACGTGTGAGTGGTAGTGGTGAGCTGGTTGTTGTGGTCATGGTGATGAGGGTGATGGGGATGCGAACGGGACGAGGAACGAGTACGCAGTGGAGGGGTGTCCTGCGCGGGGTGTCCCAGCACAGCAAGAACACCACGCTGGATGCGGGGGGATACGGCGCAACAGAAGGTACCGAACCATACATGGGTGCAAACAACAATGCCAACGTGGCTTTCGGACACACTGTCTGCACCGTGTCGCCAACCGTACAGATGGCTTCAGTCCAACAAGCCGTTCGGGCTGAGGTGGTTTAGGACGTTTCCTCTTCCATCGCCCCTGTTCATCCACCCCTCCCCTATCTCCCCTCACCCTGGGTATGCAGGTGGGGCGGATGGTGCGCCAGCAACTAGAGAGTCCAAGCAGGCCTCGGCGAGAGAACGCAACACATGTAAGGTCCTAAGTCGTGTGGGCCAGCTCTGGCGTTCTGGGCAGGGCTAATCGGCACCGCCGCCGCCACAGTTTTCTCTCTCGCTTACCTCTAACATGTCCCCAGGGCGTAAAGGCAAGACCTCGAGAGAGCCCCAGCCCCAAGCCGGCCCGAAGCGGCCCCCAATAGGCCCTAAGAGCCCCCCGAGTCCCCCTAACAGGCCCATGAAACGCTGGAAGAGGCCCCCAAGACACCCCGAGAGTCCCTCAAGAGCCGCCAAGAGGCCCACAAGACGACCTCAAAAATCTTCAAGAGGCTCCTGAGAGATACCCCGAGAGACCCAATGAAGCATCCAAGCTGCCTCTGGCCCACTTAGGCCCCAAACACCTCCTCGTGATGCCACGCTCCCCTGCTCATGGCAACTTCGCTGGGAATCGTGTCTGGATGGACTGGTCGGGATATACGAAGCGTTGAAGATAATCGACTTAACCCACACGCATGCAATGATGCAAGCGTGGCTTCCACACGACAAGCCTGACATATGTCGCCAGAGGGATACGAAACAAGCGAACAGTCTCAGCAAACTCAAATTCAAGCATCGATGCGCAGAGCCAGAAAAACAGCGTGATAGAACGCAGTGAGACGAAGCCATACCACCGACAACTGCCAGCGTGGCTTCCACCCATGATGCGGGCCCCCTGCCGCTAGCAATGGGCGGCCTTAAGAAGGGCGAAAGCAGGCGCCAGATAGTTGGGTCAAGACGGCTCTGATAGTGCTTGGAGCGACTCCCGCGCGATGCTTGCAATCCCATGCTCACATGCGATCGGAGGGTCCAAGAAAACTGCAAGCTGGGCACCAACAGGCATGCAGAGCCCCGGCGAAAGACAACCCCCGAGAAAGGAACACGGCTATAGCATACATGCTGCCCCTGGGCCGCCAGTCACATTGCCAGACACGTATAATCTTTATTTCAAGCTCGAGTAGCTATGCGGACAGCCAAAGCGAAACAGTGACAACGCAAACCACAACGGCAACGCAAAACGAACGGAACGTCTGATCACCTTCGTTGGCGTTCTGTGCTCCACCTCCCCCCTCAACCCTTTGTCCCGACGACCTAAGCTGCAAGCTCGAAACAGGATGCGAATCAATAGCAAGGCAACACAAATGCGCTGACACAAAAACTGCAATGCAACAAACTGCAACACAAGCTGTTGCAACACAGACACATCGGACACGTAAACAGAACAGCAATGCGAAATCAACTGTATTTCTGATCACCGTTGTTGACGCTCTGGGCTCAACATCCCCTCTGATGCGCGTCATGTGTAACAGACTCGGTGTAACAACCGTTCGTGTTGCAGCTAAGCGTGCGCTCGGGGGATGGGAGACTTGCCGCTCTGCCGTGCGCTACACGGCTAAGAATGTTGCTTGCAATGCTCTGTCTTCGGTAAATGATATTGGCACTAATTGGCCTTCAACGCTTGTGCTCCCGCTGTAGCGCTGGCCGCCTTTGAGCATCGGTGCGTTGCTGGCATCTCACCGACTGGTGGTCTGGATCAAAGATGTTCCTCGTCGTTGCCAGTCCCCTCGTTTTCCCTCCTCCGCCTTCTGCTGGTCCCCCTCCACATCTCCCTCTTGCTCCTCCTCCTGCTCCCTGATGCTCCTCCTCGTCGTCCTCCTCCTCCTCCTCCTCCTCCTCCTCCTGCTCCCATCCGATGGCGCAACAAATCATGGTTCTAATCCTGCAGCTGTCATTTGGGCATCACTGTCCTCAACGACAACACCACAACCCGGCCAACGAATAACATCGGATTCGACGCAGTGGAAGGAATTGGTGGGACTTCATACCCCTCCCCTCATCCATCCGCAGCTCTCAATCTTCCGTCACTCTCAGTACTCGTTCTTGTATACTCCTGGGGTGAGGGGCGATGGAGGGAGGAGGAACGAAGGAACACGTTGAGGAGGAGGAAGAGAAAGAGAAAGGAGGACGAGGAGGAGGACTTTTTAAACCCGCGTGCTCTCGCCCGTGAGTGGGCGCCCCTGGTCTCGGCACCCCGCGCAGGCGACGCGCCCGAGCGGGGTGGGCCAGCGGCCTCATCACACGGCTATTTGCTGCCGCCTCACTGCTGACTCCTTGAGTCTCCCTTCGAGCGGCGGCAGACTGACAAAAATGCTGCCGCCTCGCGCTCAGAGCCCGAGGAGCAGCCTGATGGACGGCTGCTGCCGCTCCTCGGCTCTGCGCTGGTCCTGGGACCGCGCTGGGCTGTGGCCTAACCCCTCGCCACGCTGGGGTCCTCTGCGGCCTACCCCCTCGCCGCGCAGGGGTCCTGAGTGGCCTAGCCCCTCGCCGCGCTGGGGCACGCTGCGGTGTGGCCCCTCACCGCGCTGGGGCCCTCCGGGGCCTGACCCCTCGCCACGCGGGGGCCCGCTGCGGTCTAACCCCTCACCGCGCTGGGGTCTGCCGTGGCCTAACCCCATCGCCACGCTGGGGGTCGGTGCGGTCTAACCCCTCACCGCGCTGGGGGCCCTTGTGGCCTAACCCCTCGCCACGCTGGGGGCTCCTGCGGTCTAACCCCTCACCGCGCTGGGGTGCTCCGTGGCCTAACCCCTCGCCGCGCAGGGGCCTGCTGCGGTGTAACCCCTCACCGCGCTGGGGTCCTCCATGGCCTAACCCCTCGCCGCGCTGGGGTCATCTGCGGCCCGGCTCCTCCTCGCTGGCTGCCAGGCAGAGCTCGGAGTACATGTGGCAAGGCGGCGATCCCTTGGTGCACTGCAGGAGCCACACCATCTCGCCGCCGACGACGTAGCTATCGTCGAACTCATACTCTTCGCCTTCTGGGCCCAAGCCATGCGCGCTGCCGTCCTCGTCGACGGAGATCTCGGCCAAGCACACGAATCCGTCGTGGAAGTGGCAGTCAGGGGCCGACCTCCCAGGAGCGGAAGACACGCGCCAGGCTCGATTCTCAATCGCGGCGAGGGCGACTAGGCCGCGGGCCAGCACGAGGATGAGAACTGCCACACATGTGAGTCTGGACGTCCCTGCGTCCGCTACTTGCTGCGGCTCCTGCATCAGCTCGGGGTTCTGCTGCTTCTTCGCACGCTTCTGCGTGCGCCGGCTGGGGGTTGTTTGTGCGGCCCCCCACCGCGCCTGGTACTCCTGCACGTCACTGGTGCTCTGCTTCGTCGCGTAGGTGCACAGGTGACTGCCCTTGTTCCCCACGGTGCTCTGCTGGTTGCCGACGGCCCCCTGCATGTTCTTGCCCGCGGAGCCGTCCTTGCCACCCTTGGTGCTCACCTCCTCCGCGTTGGCGCCCAGCGTCCCGCCCTGGTCGTCGAACTCGCTGCCGACGCCCTCCATCGCGGTGCCGTTGCGCTCCTCCGTCTTCACTATGTTCAGGTGCCTGCCCTGGTTCTGCTCGGTTCTCTTCTGGTCCCCGTACGCCCCCTTAGCGTCGCCGTTGCTCTGCCCGTGATCTGCGGTGTTCTGCTGGTCCTCCCCGACGCCGACCTCGAGCTCCTCCGTCTGCACGCCGCTGCCCGAGGCCAGGTGCGGGAAGGCGGGGACCTCCGCGAACGGGGCGCGCCCCTCAGCCCTGCGAGCTGGGGTGAGGGTTCCCGCCGCCGCACCACGGCGCTCCTGCAGCTCCGCCAGGGCCTGCTCGAGCTGCGAGATCTTCTGGCTCTGCTCGTGCGACCTGTGGGAGAGCTGCGCTGCCTCGTCCTCCGTCATCTGGACCTTCAGCTCCAGCGCGCGCTGCTCCTCAGACGTGTCCGCCAGGAGCTTATGGTAGCGCTGGTCCGCCGCCTGTAGCTCGAGGACATTCTCGGCTAGGAGCGCCGTCGTGTTTGCTTTCTCTTCAAGCTTGCCTTGACCCGCCTCGTCCTGCTCCGACCCGATGGTGCCAGGGTGGGCGTCCAGGGCCTCCATTACCTCCTGTAACAAGTCCCTGTCGGGATGGGCTGCCCAGCGCCTGCCGCCTCGCATCGCCACCCACCGCCGCGCCAGCTCTGGCTGAGCCTTGGCCAGGGCTCGGCGCACTTCCTCGGAAGTGGCCTTGCGCCCTAGGCCCAGCTTCACTCCAGCGCCCCTGAGGCCCTGCTCGAACCCGTCGAGGACGCTGGCATCGGGGCTGTCGGAGGCCAGCAGCTGGATCAGCCGCGCGGCCTCTTCAACTGTTCTGCAGTGCGCCACGCAGTGGCCATGCCGCACCGCGACGCCACGAGCGCTGGAGCGACCCATGGCGGAGTCCCGAGGGCGCGGGCGCCTCGGAGTGCCGTACAGAGTGAGAGAACTGGGGAAGCTGACCCCGCCCACTCGAGCCCAAATGGCTACGGGGACGAGGAGGAGGACGAGGAGGAGGAGGAGGAAGGGGACGATGACCCCCCTCTTCGTCCTCATAGTCGGTCGTCGACTTGATATGGAGCGCGTTTGGAACAAGACTTCGAGGCTAATGCGGCCCTGGCGTCGAGTCCCCCCCACAAGAACCTGACCCTGGAGGCGGCGGAACCGGCACGCACAGACTTGGCACGCGCGGGAGACTCACGCATGGAGCTCGCGCGCGCACGGAGCTCGCACGCGGCTGAGCTCGCACGCGGCGGAGATCGCACGCGGCGGAGCTCGTGCGCCGCGGAAATCTCAACGGCAGAGCTGCAAATTCGTGTGCAAGTTCCGTGCGCACGCCCTCTGTGCGGGCGGGGACGTTTTGTCACGGTGAGGGATCCTCCAGGAAGCATCACGTACATCCTGTGGAATCGTGCGTCCACGCGATGTCCTACGATCTCGTCAGCTCCTGCCAGGGAGTAACTGCGCGCCGAAACTTGCACGAACGCGCGATGGACTGAGCCTGGCGGCGCGGCGGGTATGATACGAGAACGGCGCGTATGCACCGTGCTATGATTGAGCTCCGTTCAGGCCCCGCCCCTAAGGCGGAGCGGTGCACAGATTCTCGGCGCTGGGATCCAGCACAAACCATGCACCGTACCTTTCGTGGGTCGCGGATCGAACGACGCCTCGGGAGACGCCAACGCGGCACATTGCACACCAGTCGTCCGCTGGTATGGCGATCGATGGAGGAGGGGGGTGGAGCGACGGAGGAGAGGACGGCGGCGGCGACCTCCTTGGCGAGGTAGCGGCAGTCGCCCTCGCAGATGTCGTCGCAGCCGCTGCCTCTCGCGGCGCGCGCCGCGCGGCGGGCGAGCGCCCCCTCTCCCACTCATCGCCGCCGTCGTCGGCGTCGCCATCGCCGTCCGAGTCCTCCTCGACTCGTCGTCCGTGCTATCTTACTGCTACGTCGTAGTCGCCACCGTCGTCGTTGCCCTCCTCTTCCTCGTCCTGATTATGATCGCAATCGTCGTCACCGCCATCAGCGCTGTCGTTCTCCTCGTCCGCAACGTCCGGCCGCCGAAAATCAAATGGGGCCAGGTCGCGCATCAACTGGTTTCAACAATACCATGTCCACACACACGCACACACACGCACGACACAACACCCGACCATATGTCAGATTCGACCGCATGCGCCTAGACGACACCATAGAACGCCTGTCAAGGTGATTGAGCGTGAGACACCGTGACATGCGAGCGGTATTCGCTGGTGTGGACGTGCAAAGCGTTAGTGATAGCATGTGATGCAGGTGAGGGGCGACTGCGCAAGAGGAGGAGTGGGGGAGGGAGGACGAGGAGGAGCACCATGATAAACCGAACATGCATCGACGATGCTGCAAGACACCCCCCCGTCCCAAGACTCCTCCCCACAGTGTCCTCCAGGCCTCCCTCGTCACCACAAGAAGCGCCCTCCCTGGCAGACGAGCACCCTGCGAGTCTGCCACTCGGGCGAGAGCCCCGCTCTTGCAGTGAACTGCCTTGCATCCCTCCAGCGGGCCATGAGGAACGCGACACTGTTGGACCAATAATATAATCTCAACGAGGTGTCCAGCGAGAGCCAGGTTTGCAAGAGGAGTCGCCGCCCCCCGAGCTATCATTCCTCGACGACCCTGGAGCACGAGGCCGGCCTCCAGATGCAAAGCACGGCGACAAACAGCCTGCTCGATTTTTTCGAGCCGCCAGAAGCCTGAACCCCCGAGGGAGGGTGGCTGCCTGTCCAAATTTCAGGTCGGGCATGTCCCCCTACGGGCGGATTTTGGACGAACAGTCAGCAATTTTCCAGAACATACTCAAAAGTAGCCAAACAACTTATATATAATAACATCGTCCCCAGACTAGGTTGTGACTATTTTTGGGTACTCCTCCTGTGGAGGGACACGTCCGACTTAATCCTAACTCGGGTCTCTGGCGGCCTTTCGGGACGAGTCGGACACCCCCGGAACGATCCTGGCGAGGCGCAGCTGCTGGAGAGAGCACACCGAGGATGGAGAAACCCACAGGAACGCCCAAACACGCCCGAAAACCTCGAACCCCGAAACGCCCGCGATTGGATTTTCTGTCACAGCGCAACATTTCAGAGAGGGCGGGAAAGGGAAGGTCAGGGAACACGCAAAGCACCACATCCAGCCGACTGCCAATCGCACGCAGCCACGCACAGCCAGCCAGGCCCGAGGCAGAAACGCCCGCGATAGCATCAACACCAAGGAATCGGGTCCACCGGAAAACGGATCCTGGGCCCCGGGGGCCTTTCCCAGGACCAGTGCTTAATCTGGAGGCTCTTGCTGACGGCCCCGGGGCCCCTGAAGCCCGTTTTCGGCGAAACGCCTCAGGATTCGCTTCCCTCAGGACCCGCTGCTGGCGGAAACCTTAGGACCCGCTGCCCTCGAGACCCGCTGCCGGCGGAAAACCTGACGACCGGCTTCCTCCACGGCGAATTAGCACCAGCAGGCCGGCGGCGGCGCCAGGCGATGCGCGCGGCGCGAGGCGCGTGTCGGGCCTATGGCGGCCGCCGCGAGGCCGAGGTCCGCGATCTTGTAGCAGCCCTCCTCGGGGCGCTCGGCATTCTATCCATAGTTCTGCTCACGCCCCGACCCCCGCGGGGGACCAGAGCAAGGATCTCGATAGACTTCTGCCCCCCCCCCTGCAGGTAACGTCACAACTCTTGCTGACCTCCGAGTTGGCTCTGGCTATTCCTAGACATTCCCAGACGGCGCCGGCGCGAAACGTGACGTTACCAGCCCCCCGCCCCCCGTCCCCCTCCCTGGTAACGTCCGTTATCTCGGGGGGGCGCAAACATGGATTCGCGATCCATGGATTTGGTGGCGCGTGGTCGCCAAATCCATGGATCGGGGGAGGTACCCTCCCGTCGCTAATCCACGCCCCCTTGATCCATGTTTGCGATCGCCTGATTGTCGCCGGGGGGTCAAAACGCTCTCCAGGGGTGTGGATCGAGCGTCAATTGCCGCTCCTCGTGCTCCCTGGAGCTCACGAGGATGTTGTCCTGCCGGGGCGATTGGTTAGGCGCTCCCTTGCGGCGCGCGGTCCAGCCGTCCGCCGTGTCGCCGCTCCCCCTCCTTCTCCTCCGTGCTTCGCGCTTCCTCCCTCCTCCTCTCTCCTCGCTCCTCGCTCCTCCAGCCTCCTCCTTGTTCCTTCTCTGCCTCCTCCTCCTCCATCTCCTGCGAGGAAGCTCGCAGCGTTTCTGACGAAACGAAAGAACGACTTGGCGCTGTGGCCTGCAAGCTACGCCGGGGTTCGCGCGGTAGAAGGCAGGGAAGGCAGAATGAAACAGCTGGACAAGAATAGCATACCCGCTTTTTTTTGCAGCAGCAGAGGCAAGCGAACGACTCCCACGAGCCAAATAAACCGGCAAGCCCGAAAAATGAACGCATGGGCCCGTACCGAACAAAATCGCCCCAAAACGTGTATTCCATGCTCCAGCATATCCGCTGGAGCATGGAATACGCGTTCTTGTCCGAGCCCACCTCTGCACATTCCGGGCCATCTATTGGGGGGGTCCGGCCCTCTCCGGGGCCGCGTTCGGGCCCCCGGGGCATCCAACAAATGGATCCAGGACGAGCAAATTACTCGTGGGGAGGCGGACACGAATTCCCATGGGTTGCCAGCGGGGGATGCGCTGTGGGGCCTAACCAGGCGGGACCACCCGCGAAATTCAACTTTGCTGTCCGACGGCGCCCGCGCGCGTGAGCGCCCAGGGAGCGCGGGCGCGGAACATTCGCCGGGGTCAGACGCCACCCTCCCAGGGGCAGGTCTAGGTCTAGTCTATAACATCAACTCCCCAGAGGGTGCACCAAACCCATCTCCGGCCCGCCCGTTACTGCTGTAACAACTGTATATACAAACATCCATATATATATGCACACATACATATACATCTACATTCATAGATTCAAACAGACATGAATACAGACATACAAACATACATACATGCATGCATACACAGTTACACATACTCGCATACATACAAACACACATTCATACATACATATATACACACAAGCACATTCACACAGACATACACATAAACATACATGCATACATGCAACTCTACTAGAACGATTGCGTGCGCTCCACGCGCGCTCAAGTTCTAGCTAGGTTCGACCGGCTAACGCATGTAATACCAATGTTTGAAGTGCCTTGTGCATCTAACGACCTTCTTGGAGTCCCTGCGCAAGCCTCGGAAGCGTATAGAAGGGGAAATGCGGAAACCACAACATCATACATCTCTGTTCGGTGTTCGATGATTTTGGGCCCTCGAAGGCTTCCTGGGATCTTTCTTCGGTGGTGACGGGGGCCTGAAGTATGGTCTTTTGGGCTAAAATAAGCAGGGGATACATTTGAAAAAAGGAACTCTGAAAGTTTCATTGTTTCACATTGCCATGCCTGGGCTGTGTGAAAGAAATCTCCGGGATACAGGCCATGGTCTGTTGGGATGCCCATCGGGGCCTTGCTGGCGGCGTCTTGGAAGTCCTTTCGGGGCCACTTGGGGGGCTCTTGGTGCCTCCTGGGAGCTTCCCGGGAGTCTCCGCAGGCATTTGGGGGGCGCCTCGAGAATCTCTGGGAGAACATTGGGACAACCTTGGGGCAAAGCGCTCGTAAGGCTTTGGGAGGTCCCCTCTTTTGTGTCAGATTTTCTCTGTGGTTGCAGGGGCAGCCAAGAGGACACGAGCACGACCCAAGAGAGTGCCAAGACAGCGTCAGAGGGTTCAACAGCATCGAGAAATCTGTGCAATGCGACCCCGAAGTCTTGATGGGGCTTGGAATGAACTTGAACAAACAGAGAATCACTGGATTTTTGTTCCAAGTGGGGCCTCCTAACATGTAGTGTGCAGGAATCGGGGGGGGCCTTCGAGGAGTGCAGGGGCCTCTTGGGAGGCAGTCTGGAGGCCGCTGGAGGGCTGTTCTGGAGCCTCTTGGGACCACTTTTGGGCCTCTTCGGGGCTCTTGGGGGCATCTGCAAGCTCGTTGGAAAACTCTTGGGGCCTCCTGGGGGCCTCCTGGGGGCATCTTGAACGGAAAGCCGGGATTGTCGATCTGCGTTCCCCCTGTTGGGCGGCTTTTCGGGCCATCTTGGGTCTCTCTTGGGCTGCCTCGGGGCGCTCTTTGGCCGTCTTGGGGCCTTCTTGGCCCGTCTTGGAGCCGTCTTGGGAGCTCTTGGGCGGTCTTGGGGCGGTCCTGGGGGCCTTTTTCGGCCGTCTTGGAGCGTTGGGAGTCAAAACGCGAGAAAGCTAAAAACCGCACACAAACAAAAACAATGCACATCAACGAGTTTGGCCTCTTCGGGCGCTGCCGGGACTCCTCTCGGAACTCTCTTAGGGCCTCTTGAAGGCCTCCTGGGAGCCTGGGAAGCCGTCGGAAGTCTGTCTTGGGCTGCTTGGGAGCGTCTTGGGCCGTCCTTTCGCATTCTGTAGGCTCCTTGGGGGCGTCTTGGGCCGTCCTGCGGCGTTTTGGGGCCTCCCTGGGAGGCCCGGGGGCGCGGTACCTGGAGTTGCCCCCAGATGTCACGGAGCTGTGGGACGCTCCCGGGGGGGGGGCGTATTTGTTGATATGTCTGTCTGTCTGTCTGTCTGTCTGTCTGTATGTATGTATGTATGTATGTGTATAAATAGCGGATTTCGACAATTCTGAACCTCATAACGTTTTCATCTCTTGGGGACACATCTTTTACTTCCGCCGCCGTCCGCCAGCCTTCCGCCAACTTCCGCCCGCGGAGACAGCCTCGTTTTACATCCGCCGACCTTCCGCCGCGGAAGAGATGTTAACTCCGTCAATCCTCGAAGGCGAGGCCCCTTTTGGAACACCCCAGGTATGTATACACAACGCGAGACTTGTGCCAGGCAGTCAAGAGACGCGTAACTCGAAAGGCGCGCCGAATTTCGAACTGGCCCCATCCCCGGGGGATTTTGAACATGCCATAAAACAAATCAAAGAACACAGCTCCAACACTGAAACTCCATGTGGGGAAGCCGGAGGGTACCGATATGGCTACTCCCCGGACCTCTCCCAGGGTGCGTTCTGACCAGAATTTCTAGGCGAATCCAGCGGTGGCGACGAGGGCCTCCCAGGAGGCCGACAACGGGGAAAACGAGGGAAAGGCAGCAGCATGGGTACCCTTTCCTCGTCTGAGCAGATCGTCGGATATCTGGGTTCTTGTGCTCAACTCGTTCTCCTGACTGGTGGGGGGGGCCCGGCCGAGGACCCGAAGAGGGCGAGAAGCCTTCGGACCCCTTCTCCTCCGGGACCCGCTCCCCCCGCGTGCCTGCCCTGCTTCCCGCCCGATCTGTACTGTATTTTTCAGTCCGCGGCCCCAGCTGGGGCCGCGGAGTGAAACACCTGATGTAGCCACGAACCCCGACCTTGGAGGACAAGTGGGCGTGACTTGCGAGGATGAGAAAAACAAAGAAGAGGACGCCTGTAGGGCGTCCTAATGCTGATTCCCGTGTTGTCCGTTTGGCGCTGTGCCGCCTTTAAGCCCCAGCTGGAGTGAAGCAAACACAGATCTGACCACCTACCAGACCACCCCGACCCAACCCGAAGCCACCGATGGGATCGTCAATTTCCGGTGAGGGGGCACTCGAGAACAGTGGAGGAAACACGATGGAGGCCGCACGCCCCCCAAGCCGACACTTGGGAAGGGCTGAGACCTTCAGGGTGGTTTGCGGTGGTCGGGTACGTCGTGATCCTGGGATCGGCGCCCATGCTCCGCACAATGTTTCGACTCCCTTCGAGCCCCGCTCCGACGCGGTGCGGTGCGCAATTTTGTCGGCCCTGAGGCTCGAACGACGATGCTCCGTGCCATTCCTGGTCCGAGGATCAACGACACCTCCGACGCGGTACGCTGCACACGCCTCGGCCGCCGACTAAGCTTAGGAGTGCGTCTTGGGACAAGTCTGGTTGTCCACGGCCCGTTTCAATGAGGAAACCTTTCCACACTTGCAATGCAAAGGCGCTGGAAGCAGGGCTGGCCTGGCTGCAGAAGGTGGTTGGCGAAGCATGACCCACGGCCCCGAAACAATTGACGGGCCTGTGGAGCATGGCTGCTGGCCCTGCTCATCGGCGTGTGGGGTTTGGCGCGTCGGTTTGTCCGCCCTGGCGTGCAGGGGGGGGCCGTCCCAGGTGGCTGCTGCGTGCAGCGCTCGAAAGATGCCCCGCAGGCCCAACGAAACGGGAGGGCGGTCGGGGCGGGCGGGCGGGGCATCGAGGTGTGAGGCCCCGTTGGGCGGGGCCACTGCTCGGGAAGGCGGGTCGGGTCAGGCGTGCGAGACGCCAAGTGTATGACCCCGTCGAGTAGGACCACTACTCGGGCGGGCGGGACAGGTCGAGCGGGCGGGGCATGGGGGCCTCGTCGAGAAAGGGGACGTTCCACAGGCGTGCGGGTCGGGTCGGGATGGACATCCGATTGTGGGGCCCCGTCGAATCGGAACACTGATCGGGTGGGCCTCGGGCCTCCGGAAGAGGCCCAATGAGGCGCCTTCACGACTTGGCGCCTCCGGAAGCGCCCGCACACCCCCCCCCTTGCGGCACTTCGGACCCCCTCCACCTCCCCCCGGGCCGGCCGAGCGGAAAAGAAGAAACGACTGGGCCAGGGAAAAAGCGCAGAATTCCTCGGGGAGAGGCCCAACGAAGGCCGCCTGTATGAAAATCCACCACGTAGCGCCTCCAGAGACGCCCGCGATCCCCCCCCCCTTCGGACCCCCCACACCTCCCGGCGGGCTGGCCGAGCGTCAACAAATTGAGCGGGTGAGTAAACGGGAAGAGGATAAAATGTATTTTTCTTCGGAGGGGGGGGGCCCAGTGCGGGCCGCCTGTCTGGAAATCGATTACCTGGCGTCTCCGGAGGCGCCCGCACCCTCCCCTTCGGAGCCCCTCGCCCTCCCACCAGCGGGCTGGCCGAACGGAGGAAATAAAAATACGGAGCGGAGGAAAAAAAGAGAAGAAGGACAACAAACATCAGAATTCCTGGGGGGAGACTCATAGAAGGCC